CTGGTACTGGTGTGTTGTATTCCAGTGACATAGCCATTTCCTGGAGCCTTGAAGGGCAGTGGCCTCTGTGCCCAACATTGCGTGTGGCTATGCTTCTATGCTGGGAGCCCACAGGTACATGTAGACAGTCTTGGGGCAGATTTCAAATGGCTTCTGTTAATACACAGAAACGTAACTAAACTGAGTGCAGAAAATTGCTCTGGAAAAGCTGGTTACCAACTACGAGTACAATAGTATGCACTGTATTACTTTTGACTTGTTATCAGCTGACATTTTTTTCTCAGCGCATACATGTACGTGTACATGTAGATTTGATAAACACCATTTGCTGCTTAGTAACACTGTCAGATTGGGCTCTGTTTTGTGCACATTCAGATGAACATTAGTTTGGCTGGCTTGCATCATTTCCACACCAGTGCATTCATCTTGTGAATTCCACATTGTTCTCATGAGTGATCATACAATACCATCCGCAGTTACTGTACAATACTATCCACAGCCGGGCTGCTCCTCAATCTCGCCTTGCTCATTTCACCCACTATTAGCAGTTACTCATCCTCAAAAGGTTGAATATCCTCCACCGAATTAATTTTATCCCCCTACCTAACCAGTCTGTAATCGCTGCGGTTTGCCACTTCATGTTTTCAATCAAACTGGGCCAGTGCTGGCAGGCAGCACATGGTCCCCCCTCGTTCCAATTTGTCATCCTTGGCTCTAGAACTGTGGGTTGCATATGCATGTCACTCAGTGGCGCACAAATGTTGAATGTTTGTCCTGCCATCATCCCTTTTGTGCTCTTCTGAAGTGCTCACATAGTTACACGGTGTCCCCTATCACTGCGCTGCCAGTCTCAGCCGCGCTGTGTTCCAAGGCCACAGGCATTCCAGTCACGCGGACTGTGTTTAGTTTTCTTACAGTTCCAGTTGCCCATGCTTTGTATGCTATAATTGTAGAGTTAAGAGCGCAGTCACATCCTGACAGGTATAATCAAAATCATGTGCTCTAATTCGCTGATTGATAACCAGGAATCCCAAAATATTTAGTTTGGTAACTTTTGGAATGCTTGGATATTGACTGTGATCACTTCGTCATTTAAAAAAGATAAAAGATGGAAAGTTCTTGCGGTTTCTCTAAGCAGTAAATTCTTTATCAGCGTTTTTATGCCTATTCAAAAGAATCATCCGGTATTTGACTGTCAAGATTGCTCAGTATGTATAAGGAAATCTAATTTAGCTGAAGGATATTGGCATTGGTAGAGCTTTTATCAGAAATATTTCCTAGGTCAGCAATTTCAACCCTTGAAAACAACGCTGAGTTGAGCAGGATTCTGCAGAATATCAACGGTGGGGGGGAGGGGAGTAGGGTCAAACATCAGAATTCTGTCCTGGCACTTACGCACTGTATCCTGCTGGCCTGTATACTATCTGAGAAATTAACTTCTTCAAAGTAACTGTGTCTACTTAAGCTTTTCAGGTATCCAGTCCTGCTTTGAACATGGAGACAAATTGTACATAAGTAGTGAAAGCTATTGTCAATGGACTTCTGGGACTGTGTTCACACTCAGAAGTAGAAAGAGACCTTCTTTCTTTTTGTATTATTCATATAATATTTCATTTCTACTTGCCATGGTATTGCCTACTAATGTACTTTCCTGAAATTAAGTCAGTACATTATTGAACTTGACTGTTTATTTCCTCTTTTTTTTCCTGGAATGCTACTCAGTTTCCTATATTAGGATCAACTTTATTGAACTCTGTTTAATATTTTTGCCCCAGTAGAGATTTTGTTAATAATGTGCAATGTGTATTGTGGTTTGTGGCATCTGTGGCTTTGTCGACATTCTGCCCTTGCTGCCATAGACAGCATCCCTGGAAGCACTGAAGCATTTTAACTGTCTCATTTTTTTATTGCCCCATTTCAAGTATGGATTTGCTCCAGTTACAAAAGAAATGATTAAAGCCTATCCAATTAGATTAAGATCACATAGAGTGCTTCATATTACTGATCGTGCTTCGCCGTGTAGAATAATCCCACATTGCCTGGTGCTGACATACATGTATCATTTCACCTCAAGAACTTCCAAGACGTACACGTACTGTACATTTTTATTTCCCTGGCAAACATTAACCATTCATCCAGTTGTTTGACCTAGCAAAGCTTGCATCTGGCCTCACCGTTTTCCCTCACTACGTTTCATTATCCAGCCCCTGCGCATTGCCCCAATTTCAACAGCCGTAATTGTGTGGTGATGATGACATTTCATAAATGTAAAGAACCAATCGGTTCCCATCATTAGGCCCCCCCCCTCCCCTGCTCCGGAGAATAATTGTAGAATTTCTGCCGGCGCAAGGGAGAAACTGCCATCAAATTAGGTTTAAATTAATTTATAGTCATTTTAATGCTTTCCACCTGCCAATTACCAGCGGTGTGCATAGAAAGGGACGATAATTCATGCTGTGACAACGATCACTCATCTCAGGTTCACAGAGGACAAATTTAATAAAGGTGTGCACAGCCTGATTTATTGATTCCAAGAGCAACCACAGACAGTGCAAAATGCCCCACTGACTCCAAATAGCCCTGGGTTTTGGCATAATGACATGATAATGCCAATGTTACTCACACTCTGTTGCCTTTCCTCAGGATGGGCGTGCATGTCGTATTGCCTTAGCAAGCTTTCAGATGCTTGACGCTGCCCCCTGCCTGCAACGTTCCCGGTAAATGCGGTCTTATTTACCCTTTCGTGCCGCGCATGAGTTGACAGAAAACTTCTAAAAATAGGTGAACCCTAGTTGAATTATAAGGCGAGTAGATTTCCCAGAAATAATGAATATTCAATATCCCCAAGCCATTCATAAGAACCGGACTATTTCTGCAACTGATTTCATTTCTTAACTTCCTCCCTCAAGATCTGACGGAGGAATACACTTGCTTTTGCATCTCCCTCCCTATCTAATCAATATTTTGTTGTGCCTGGTATTCTGTTAAACACCTCGATGCTTCTTATCCTCTAAAGACATAATTATAGACTTTGACATCTCTCTTCTCCTCTTCATCCCAAAACTCAATCGTTTGATGGAGATAACACTGACAGTCGATGGCAGGCTAATGAAAATGGCCGGAACTGCTGTTTATTGCAGAGTGTATTATATTGATGGAATTGAAGAAACATTTGAAACACAAATTGAGCACATAGCGACTTCAACCTGTTTCAATTACGTGATCATCTGCAGCCACAGCAGCTGGTTTTATTGTATTGCGAGCGTGACCCCAGCTGACCTTTTGCTAATAGATGCCCCATCTTCCTTCCAATCTCTTGCCGTACGTGCGCTTTGCACCGCAGCCAGCTTCTGTATTTAGCTAACGTAGGCATTCCCCTGGCTGGGGCTCTTGGATTTACTTATGCAAAACACAGTATCTTTCATAAGTATTGGTACACCAGAAATTTCTGTGCTCACAATTGGAGTATTTTACAACTTTGAATGGAATTTTGGCGTGAGTACGGGCTTGCAGACTGCAGAGTGTGCAGCAAAGAATTCTTTTCCTATTTGCATAGTGCTAAAGTTTTGTTCTATCCCTTGGAAGCACAGAATTGTCATTAGAAGGGAAGAGATCCTTCGGAAGCAGGTTCCAGTTACATAAAGCTGCTAAGTACCGGTAGAAATAACTACGAAGTAAAGGAAATCTTTGCGAAGCGAATACAGTTTACTGGCCAAGGTCTCATGCGTTGCGTATTTCTTGGGACTGGTTACCATTTGAGGTTTGCTCCGCACATAAACTTGTTTAGCCGAGACATAGCATTGGGCCTTGTTATGAGAGCAGAGTCCAGGTTACCCTTCGGCTTTAAGATGACGGAATGCTAGATTGCCCAACTTGGGTTTATTGCTGACGGTCACAGGGATTGTCTGTACAATATGAGACTTCTGTTTGTCTGTGTTTACAAACATATGATGCAGACCGATACAAACGGTCCTGCTAGAGAGAACACCTGCATAAAAAAGAACAGTCTGGCCTGGTACAGTTTACTTTGTGTATTTGCCAACCATCTTTGAGGCATTCTGAAATTTCAACACAGTAAAATCTAACACTGAAATGGTTTACACGCGCACAACATTGCAGAATAAAACTGAATTGCTGCCGTGCCCAGAACTCCCGTCCCACAGATCATGAGAAGGTCCGTTCCTCAGCTGTTTTGTTCCTCACATGTACAACGGAGGTAGTGAAAAAGTACACACATACACATGGTAAAGTCCTTAATTTTTGGTTGAGGCACTCAACCTAGTTTGAAATGGTTGTGAAAGCCAAAATGTGAGAGGTACGGTTCATGTAGAGAAGTGGCACTCAAGTATGGAATGCCCATGAGCACAGCCAGAAATCTTATCCTGTGAAGGCATGCTGTCGTCGCCCACTCATATTTTTCTGCCTGAGCAAACATCCCAAGGAGTGGAAAATACTTAGACAAGTGGGAGGTTCATTCAGTCGTCAGTACACTGTTTCACAAGGTAGTTTTCTTGAAATTCCATTTATCTACAGTGTACTCTCTACATTCGTTTTTGAAAGTTTTAATTCTGACTCGGAACGTTGTTTATGTTTTGGTTTTTCATCTCTTGGAACATGATGTTTGTTTTCACACGGCCAGTTTGGGTGTCATTTGTTGTTAAGTCACAGACGGGATAGATTGACAATTGGGAAGGTCTGTTTGTCATCCTTTTTTGTTTGCGGTGGCCAAGCATAAAGTCTTTAATAATTTGACCTCCCTAATAATATTGTCCCAATTTCAAGCAGGCTGTGGGCATTGTACATGGTCATATGTAGCACTGAACAGAGCTATTTAAAATTTCATAACCTGGAGACTTCATCACCGGGTAACATTTACCAACACTGAGATAAAGATTATCTGAAATGGAGCATATGTGGATTTTCCGGGAAAACACCCAGTGGCATTGCAGTTCCATTATATTAATATGTCCATTGATTTTGTCTTCCATTGTTAATGGCAGGAGAAGCGTGACCATGAAATGAACATGGAAGAGTTGCAGAAGGAGAACGAAGAGAAGAAGGTACCTGGTTTTGTTTAGTTAGCGGCATTTTATGGTGATGGCGTGCATAACACTGGCTTGTTTATAACGACCACAAACTTTTACATCCCCATCCAGGGCCAAGTTATTTTGAAACCAGATAAATTGAAACTGAAAGCTTTTGACAATCCTTGCCTTGTTTTGAAAACACATTACCTTATTTTTTAGATTGTGTTTACTTTTATTCCTCTTTTTAATGATTGTTTGTACTACTTTTGAATGACCTCGCTATCTGAAACTTCTGGAAAATTTCCAAAGGACTCTTTAGAACTGTTTGTTGGCTTGCCTGAGGAGAGTAGGGAGAAACAAAGGAGATGATGATGCCAACATGTGATTCCTACTTCCGCCAAAAACCTATGAGGGAAACTTTTCCTTGACACCTGTAAGAGAAAATTGAGTCTGTTGAATTGTGCCGGTTCTGGCCAGATTGCATCAAATTAAAGAATTAAAGCATGTTTGCCTGATCCTACTCTTAAACTCTTTTTTCTTTCTGCAGTAATTTTTAAAATTCTTTTTCCTGGATGTGTCTCCGATTGTGACTTTGCAACAGTCGAGCAGATCATCGGCTGCGCCAAACAGAGAATAACGCCTAAGCCCGAAGTCGCTTTAATATTTCATGGCTGCCAGACGTTTTGAATTTGAATGGCTATTGATCAAAGCAGTTGGAAAAAGGAACTCCACATTTCCAGGCAGACGACCCGAAATATTATCTTTTTTTATTTGATTCCTCCATTGTAGAGTCAGGGAGAACGAATGATCATGGACCGATCCAATCGCCTGAAGCGTGAACGAGCCGAGATGGAAGCAGAACTGCAGACCCTCAAGGTTGGTACATCTATTAAGCATTCAGTTTATCGAGTCCCGGACATGCCGACGTTTTTTTCTTTCTTTCTGTCTTCTGCCTGTATCCCAAGTAACGTCCCCTTGAGTAGTCTGTGATTAATCGTGACTTGTAATTACTAAAGGCATTGGAAACACAATTTACCAACCAGACTTGGCTGGCTGTGCGCTGTCTGGCTGTACGCTGCAGTACTTGCAGATAAAGGAAGGAGGCGCATGCAGGGTTCTAGGATCTGTGCCTCAGGATTTGAAGAAAGAATCTTGGAATGTGGTTGCCCCTTGTCGCGTTGCATAAATATCAACTAAGAATTAGATGTGTAGCACTGAGGTTTTTACATGATATTCATGTAAAAGTGCTTTCTTGGCTGCAAGTGCCTTACAATATACTGAACAATTTCTTAATTCTTGGTTTTTGGAGGGTGAGAGTCTGTTACGGGAATTGGCTCATGTTTTTAAGTACCAAATTTGTTTTACAATTGAAATTTTTAATTTTTATTTAAAGCTTTATATTTGTGGCCCGAGTAAAAATTAAGAAATGTGTGACTTTCAAGGACTTATTTGAAATTATTTTCACCCAAAAAGAGTTAATAAGGGCAATTTTTTGGGAGGGGGGGTAGTGGAGCACCCGGGTTTGAATTAGGAGGAGGGGGGGAATAGGAATTGTTTTCTGCAAAAAAATGTCAAGAATTTTTTCCCTTTCGCAGAGGAACTTTCCCTCCTCCAAGGGAAGATGATAGACTGAAGAATCATTTCTAAGAGTGTTGGCACTTTCAATTCCCTGCCAAAATAATAATTTGGCAGTTTTCTTCCTCAAATTGCACCCTACCGAACCTAACCTTCTAGAGAGGGTACATAAGACAGAGTGAGCAGATATCAGAATCATGCTGGTGGCCTTCACACTGTGTTTAATTTACACTGATTACACGAGGCTGTCATGAAAGAGCGGCTTGGGAAAAAGACGCCATAAAAGAACTTAATATCAACCCAAAGTGTGGTTTGTAATAAAATTAGGCGTAAACAGGGCCCCCTGTTTTGTTTAGACAAGATCTTGAATGTTATGAGATGGCTGCAATCTTTTTCTCTTCTGGTGTTTTCGATAGCATCCATTGCAACATTCTGCAACAGCAAAAGTGTGTGCCCACTTTGGGAGGGCACTGTTTTGCTGTCTTTGGTCTAAAAAGGATATTATTAGCAGCCAAAATATGTGTGTTTGTGGAGTGGATGTCAGGGCTGGAATAAATGATAATTACATGTACTTTAGCCATGGGTAAGATACATGTAATTTAAAGGGAATTTCAAAAATGCATGACTTGTAATCCTTATAGTGGTACTAGTTTTTTATATCAGCTATATGCCATTGGCACTTATTGGAGGTTCTTTTAAATAGGGTATGTCTAATCCTTATACCGTACTAGTTTTTGATATCAGGGTATAAATGCAATTGGCACTTATTGGAGGTCCCTTGAATAGGATATGTCTAAGCCCAGGTTTAGCCTGTGTGCTGATGTGGGCAGATGCTTTCTATATTATTGAGAAGGTTTTGATTGACAAATTGGAACTGAGTTGTGGGGGCATGTCTCTGCCCATGCAAAATTTGTACTTACAAAAATTGTTTACTTCCCAAATGAGTTGGCCAAATATACCTACCTGACAGTTTCATATTCTTGCACGAATGAAAGCCAAATTGTTATAATTAACATACTGCAGAAATTATATTTAGAAATTAATATTTTATCGTAGTTCATGCTTTACATAGATTGAGCATGCATTACCCTCATCCCTTTTTGTTAATCATTTGTTTCTGGTTTTTTTGGGGAGGGGTATTTTTTTTCTTTAAATGGCTTTCTTTCAAACTGGTTTTCCTACACCATGTACAACTGCAAGCAACTTTGAAAAACTAGTGATGAAGACGTGTATGAAACACCATTGACCTAGATGAAATACACTAATGGGTGCAGTGAACTTGTCCTCATTTCAAGCATAGCTTGAAATGATTGTGCACCGATTGTGGCCAGGCTCCGAGCTCGTGCAGGCAAACCGCAACTTCATTAGTCTAAATTTGGGGAGGGATGCTGCTTAATCCAGAACAATTACTGGAGTGGCAGATTGCTGGTCCCGACTATTTAGGGACAGGACTGGCCGAGATGACCGCACCACAGTGGGTGAACTCTGTGATTGATCCACCCTAAAATGCATAAAGTGCAGGTCAAATGTAGACTAATCTGGTGTCCAAATTTAGATGCCAGGGCTGAGGTTGTACCTTGCCCATGTCTGGTCTTTGTGTTATGTCTGGTCTTCTGATGGACCGCGCCACTGACAATAAATACATGTAGTGTTCTCCTGCACCTTACATCAATCAAAACACGTCAACTTTTACGTGGAAGCCAAAGCCCTGCATTCAGTTTGGGGGAAAAGCAGTCAGTGCTTGTTGTTCAGTTTTTGCACAGTTCTGTGTATAAGTACTTCTGTGTTAAGTTGAAATTAATTGAAAATCCACCCTTACTGTTTCCAATTACAACCAAGATGACATTTCACATTTGCTATTGTGTGCTGTGCTATTTAGGAAAGACACAGATGAATTGGAACAAGTGCCGTTTTGGGGTCGATTTGAACTATTTGAGAAAGCGTGCCCATCATTTTGTAGACAATTAGCAAGCACCACATCACACGGTTTTAGTCATACAAAGAAAAAAAATGTGAACCCCCCCAAAAATTTATAACAAAAAATTAATAATAGCTGAATTTCCCTTCCAGTATAAACGTGGAGAACTTTAGTTTCTTAAATAGGTTGACTCACCTTCTCAGTGTAAAATTTTATTACAGTGCAGAAATTTCGTTCAAGAATACGCAGGAAAGGTGTTTTCCAATATGTATGTGCCGCAGAAAAAAATAAGTAAACTCATTCACCATCTTTAGAACGTTTCGAAGATACACACATGCAGATACTTTTGTTTTGGTTCATCATTTGACTTGAGTTGGTTTATTATCCTATTTTTTTACGAGACTCTGAGGAGTACCTCTTTTTCCGCAGAAACAGTCAATTCAATTAAATTCCAGAATCTAGTTAAGTTCCACCTTCGGTACTTAGTTCAGGGAAACGCACCCTCTGGTGCAAGGGGACAGGACAGAATTGATTTTTTGAGCCCCGCAGTGAACAATGCTTAGGGGACATGTATTTATGAAGCATACATGTATATGAGAAATCAAATTAAATTGTTTGAGGAGGGTATTTTAGTGGGTAAATATTGAGGGCACTTTTATGGCAGTGTGTGTGTGTTGGGGTGGGGGGGTTCAACAGTGGCGGAGCAGTACCAGCACAGCATTAAGTGGAAACAATGAGAAGACAGATAGTTGTGTATGTTAATTCCATGTTAACAAGGAATTTAACGAGACGATTCAGAAATTTGGCGGTTGAAATACTGAAGACATCAGAAATGTAAAATGCAAACTCTTCTACAAACTACACTGATCAGAAATGTACAAAAAATTGGAGGGCCTGACATTTTGATCGAAACACAAGTAAGTCAGCTCGAATTTTGGTAATTTTATTTCCCTTGGATACTTCAATTTTCGTTTTATATGTTATATCTAAAATATGCCTCAGCAGGTAAAATCATGTTTCCATTGTTGTTCTGTATGGTTTAATACAAATCACATCATAATTCAATGAGAAACACAGTAATAGGTGCATGAACTTCAGATAAGACAAAGGAATATAAAAAACAGTTGTTCATCATTGCAAAATAAGGCTGCCTGGGGGAATAGATTCAGAGTTTCTGCTCTGGCTGTGTTTTTGAAGTCAGTCAATACGAAAGAAGCAGTATGGTCTAGTTTCTAACATCCAATTCATTTTGTACCCCAGTACCTGTACCTTCATCGGGAAAACAAGGAATGAAAACAATTCCTTCAGTACATTGTTAAATCTCAAGAGTAATTGTAAATACACCTTTATCCAGTTTGTCTACAACTTGATTCACAATCTGTTTGACCAAGTATAATTTACAGGATTTCCCTGAGAGATTACTGTTTTACAACACCACTATCTGATTCCCCAGCCAGGCAGTTGTTTTCTTAAAAGTGATGTTGGACATTGTGGGCACTCATCACTAAATACACCTATTAACTTTAACATAATCTGAGAGCTGTTCCCTAAATGGCAACATGAATTTAGGAGCTAGGGCTTTTATGGTTGTTTTCTTTTGATAGTAAATTTTGTTTCGGTTCATTGTGGCTGTTTGATCAGTTCCTGCGTCATCGATGAAAATCTTAATTGACTGATGTGATTTATTTTTAGATGGTTTATTGACTATGTGGTTAGGGGGCCATTTTGTTGGTATGAGTTTCTCAAGTAAAAAACCTGGAAGCGATGACCAAAGAATGCAAGCTACGCGTGTGCGTGCGGTAATGCATACATATTGATACGAGTAGTTTGAAACAGTTGACATTTGGACATGTTCATGTATGCCTAAGCAAAATGGACCTTTTCCATGAAATATGCAAATTGGACAGGTGCATATGCGCTACTACCACTGGTTGGCGAGTGCAGCCGCCAACACTGTCGGTAGCATAGGTGAGCTGCAAGTAACCATAACCTGGTCCGTTGACAGTCAAACAAAACCATATTACAGCCCTTGCCTGATACTTGAGCACGCTTTTCTCGAAACTAAGTGAAGTTTTCAGTGTCCTGAGGTTGGAAAGTGACACTTCCTTGTCTTTAAGTTTGGCACTCATGTTAAACTATACTAGCACAGAAACGGCGATAGTGACGTGCGCATGGAGATTTGTATTGTTACGTCAAAGATTTAAGCAACTTTGCCAACCGGTGGTACTAATGCGCATGCGCTTGCCTTATTTGCATATTTCATGGGAAAGGTCCATTTCTAGGACTTTTCAACTAATCTAAACCATATCTAATATATTTTTACATGTTCATATAACTTTGACATGCTTATCTGACTGCCAGTCATTTTTGCAGCAGACTAATATAAAATCAATGTGCCAAAATTAAGTTTCACTTCTAGATAAAGAATCGTAGAATTGTTAAAAAATCTAAACTGCTCCAAACTGCTTGCTCACTAAGGCGACCTGAAATTGACAAGGATTTAACAGGAAGTTTCTGCTTGGATCAAAATGTGAAGCTGTCCATCAATAATTTAATACTAATATATTCATTTATAAAGTGCAAATATCAAACAGATACTGGTATGTTCAAATGCGCTGTACAATGAAGACATTAAACATGGTTGGGCCAATGGCACACAAGGGTGCCTCAGGTACGGTGTAGCTGCCAAATGACCCACATTCACCTACATCTCTAGAGAGGAGACAATAAGAAGCAGTTACAGTTTTAGAGGCAGGAAGAAAACCCCAGAGAAGAAATTTCTGGGTCAAACCCATGGAATCAGGTTGGAACTGAAAACTCAATCCACATGCGGACCGAGCCGAGAATCGAACCCAGGCCACAGAGGTGAAAAGCGAGGAAAGAACTACATGTACTTCACCAACTCGACTCCCTTAAAGGAGAATTCCTTTAGATGTAAGCGGTAAATGAAATTGGCCATTTGAAGACAGACAGGCAGCTGTTTGAACAAACCGATTCCTTTTTATTGCTTTTACAAAAGTATGTTTCTGTGCTTCTGTGTAAAAGCATTATTTTTTCATATTAATTAAAACAAAGTGGCCAAAACAAATCTTTCCCTAATTTCTTTTTGGTGAAAACAAAAACCACTGAAGTTGTTTATTTCATTTTTTGAAATGCTATCAGCAAGTCTCTCTCAGTCCACCTCATCTCCACTGAGTCAGAGTAAATGAACAGGAAATCCGAACTTGTTCAGTTTGTAGTACTGATATCCTGCAATTACCATGGGTTCCTGGAGTGCCGGCGTGCCGCGTAGGCGAGAGCCGAGATCAGATCTCAATGATCTGACAGAGCCCTGGCGGACCGAGTGGGTTTTTATCTTTTGAATGGGGCAGGGAGCCTTCTGTAGTGTTGCAAATTGGATCTGCGTGTAGCCTCTCCAGCTTCATTATGTGCACTCACCCCCTCTCTGCACTTGGCCATGCGAGATACCGGAATCTGGACGTATCTCAAATGCTTTCATCAGAATGCTGTTAACTCTCTGATGCACGGGTAGTCACGTGCGGGTATCCAATGACGTTGTCCCCATAAATTTTCTGAAGTTGCGGCCAGGATAACTTCAGAATTAAATTTTATTTTTTTTTATTGGCCAAGTTTTCCATTCGTATTTGGAAACTGCAGCATTGGCAATGCCTGAAAGAAATCATATGTCTTCGAGCACATAGTTAAGAGGCTCTTCAGAAAAATGTAAGTCAATAGTTGATGTAAAAAATAAACCAATTGCCAAAATGTCATCGTAAATGGATATATATTCCCCCTTTTTTGTACTGGTTTTTATAAATTAAAAGTACAAACAGTAATCAGTAGGTATGCTTAAATTCTGGTGCCTGTCGTTGCTTCAAGGCAGATCCAAAGAAGGAATGTATGTGAACTTGCATACTTTGTAACTTGATTTTCTTTTTGTCAGGTTCTGTTTAAGTCGCACAGTCATATCTTTCAACACATTGATAGGCAGGTAATGAATAGACATTGAACTTGAATTACATAACATATGGATCTGCAAAAGTTGAAGCTTTGAAGGACACTGTTTAAAGTATAATGTACATGTAGTGGTACATGTAGGTTAAGATTGAGATGGTTTAAGTCATGCTTGGCCATGCTGTAGCAATGCTGAGATACGTTTATTGTAGTTGGTAGAAGATCTTGTATATGGCTTCCATTTTTCTTGCTAGAAGACACTAGAACCTTTTGCTGGCTTGACTGGTTTACCGTCGTGTCAGTGGAAGATGGGGGTCTGTTTTGATTTGTAAAGACAACACTAATTTTCTTTATCCTTCACAATTTCAGCTTGAAATTGCGGACAGCCAGTCTCAGCTGAAGACGCTGAGACGTCAGTTGGAAGAAAGCCGCTCAGATGCCGAGAAAGCAAAGACCGAGCTGATGAGCGCAGAGCAGGAGAATGGAAAACTGCGACGGAAGTACGAACGCGCAAAAACTGGTTATCAGGAACAAGCTCAGCTCGCTGAGGTAGAAAACATCCGGTGAGTGCCTGCTCCGCTCATCTTCTGTCGATTTAATCAAATTGAAGTTGCAGAGGAGGAGGAAAAGAAAGGGAAAAAGGAGAAGAAAAACCTGGTTGATGCTTCAATGCTAACACAAAAGGGTTAATAAATTGCTGACTCTAAGAATCTGTCGGCAGCTTTTCTTCGTGCCACACGTTTTATTTCAAGTCTTGCATGAAGCACGGATCAGAAACAGTTGTAAGTGGTTTCAGTCAGAGGCAACAAAAAGTGAAATTGACTTTTTTTGTGGTTCGCAAATGGGTCACGGTTTGTGCAGGAAATTGCTCGGGCAACCTTGACAGATGGGATGAGAATTTAATTTTGCGCTGATTTTATTTTCTGTCGTTCGTGTGGTTCGGGACTTTTTCACAGAAGTTTGATTTCCAGGCCAGTTGTAATTGTGCAGGAGTGTAAGAGAAAATCTCCGGTTCATAGCATTCAGTGATCTTATTTGTCTTACTTTGTGTATGCAGTCCTGGAATTGCACATGAGTCTGCAAAGATGTCAATCTCAGGGGTGGTGTATACGCTGCATTGAAGTGACAGATAATTCCTAATACCTTGGCAAATATTTGCTGTGCAATTTACAACAGTTGAACATCTTTCAACTGTGGTAAATTTGTCCAGAACGTTTGGCTTAATGTTTGCATTGGATTGAAGCACCGTGCAAACTGGAAATAATCTGAAATATGTAAAAAAAAAAAAATTAAAATTCCTAACCAAGAAGTCAGCCCTCCATCTAATTCGCATGAAAGTTTTTAATTTCAGAGCAAGGAATGAAAATTTCCTGACTTCATTTTGTAGTGTACTTGTGCATGTACAAGAAAAATTCATGCAGTAAAATTTCCATAGTCCTGAGACACATTATATCTTTACTCTCTTTGCTAGTGTTTAATGTCAATCCATACATGTTTAATGACTCTCTATTGCCTTTTCATGTATGAACTGAACTTTCCCTGTTTTAGGACGTGGTTATTGCCTTTTACCCACTAATGCATGTCTGAAGGTGCATGCAAAGCTAAGGAAGTGGGTCTGTCGCTTTCTTTCCTTTCTTGGAAATAAATGAGTGGAGAGAAAAGTGAACTTTTGTGTGAGAAAATTTGCAATGCTACATGGAATGGATATGTTGTCATAAATAATATCCAGAAAGTTTTAACAAATGCTGGGACATGTCGTGCTTCTTCACTGATATGTCTTAAATGTAGATACTTCATTTCTAATTAATGGTTTCATAAAAAATTGGTCTACTGAAAACAGGCCGCTGCATTCGGCCTGAAGCAAGTGGAATAATCCTAAATATGTATATTTTCATTTAGTAGTCGATGCAGTGCTTTCTGTAGGAAAATCTCCATCCATGGTTGCACTTCATCAATCAGGCAGCAAAAAAATTGGTATTTGGAAAGAGTTTAATTAAAAGAGAAAGTGCTTGTCATTGATCTATAGCAAGAATGACATGTAGCATTCATGGTGTCAATGTGTAACATCTCTTAGTGCACGGTGAGCGAAGGTCAAAAATGGAAAGGGCCACACCATGAGTTAATGTTGAGCTCTGCCTTGTTTGCTAAGGGGAAAAAAGAACATGAATGTACCCTTGAGGCTTCCAGGGACATGTACGTTAGGACGTGGAGTAATTTATGCGTAAGAGTGACGGTGCTTTAAATAAACAATATCTGGAGCAAGGATGGGGCGCTTGGGTGGTGTTAAAGGTCTATGGTACACTGTACATTCCAGTGGATGATGGTTTGTCCATCTGCTCTTGTACATGTAGGCCGGAATGACTGGGCCATGTAGGTCATTGGGTTGCGATTGGCAGATCATCAGAATAGGAGTTGAGTTTATGTCTCGGCGGACTGCGAACTCTTGATGGAAAGGCAGCAGACAGACACGTAAATGTACATGTGCATACGTATTTGGAATTGAGCCTAAACTACACCTTTCCAGTTGGTGGTATCCATTTACTTTTTTACCACAGTGCTACAGTGTGTCATTTTCTTTTTAAGTGGGCTGCTCATTGTTACATGTCCATTGCATGTGTAACATTTGCATATCTGCCATAATGCGACAGTGGCAACCAAGAGCTGGAATGTGGGAATGCCATACAGCACATGTACATGTATGATCAGTGATGATAGGTTGAAATGTCAGAATTTGGATAAAAAGGTGCCATTGAAAAATAAAATGCCAAAATTCGTATTGCTTGAAAATGGTTTGAAATACATGTAGACGGTAGTCTGGTTCCAAGTGTTTAGAAAGATACATGTGGATAATTCCAGAAATTTGGGGTGCAAAAGTGTGACATTTTGTGTCCCTGTTACATGTACACCTGACCTTTATTATTTGACATGGACATATCACTGGAATGAATTTCAAACTGTTAACTATTTGTTTGGTAGGTAATTTGCATTGATTCATTGCTCTTGGGAATTAGAAAATGTGTTCTGAACTTAAAAACTCATATGTCAGATGTGACAGGGACGCCCCCCTCAAAAAGGCCCCCTTATTTCTGGAATTACCCATGTAGGGCCTACGTGCACCAGTACCGGTACAGGTTGTTTTTTTTTATTTTTCTTGCATAAAACTCTCAGTTCTCATTCATATTCTGGTTCAATTCATTCAAGCCTTCAAGTCGATATTGTCTTTGAGCTTGGGCTTGGAACTGCCTACTGTTATAACCTCGCTAGGTTTTGCAGGTGCATTTTCTGGTTCAGAAACAGAGAACGCTGCAGAAATGCATTCCCTTTGGGTAGAAAAGATGCATCTGAGGCAAGGGCACTTCAGGTCCACTCCCAGTCATAAACTCACACACTTCACTGTGTACCTGTCAGTCAAGCTCGGGCTGAAAGGCTTTTCTCTACGCCGTGTGGTTTCTACCCAGTCCGTTCAAAATTTTTTGTACTCACATGCACTTTAAAGTGCCATTTGGCCACAGTTGTAGTGCGATGCACCATCATTGCCAAGGCACTCTCCCCACCCATGTACTTTTGGTGGCTTGCTGAAGGCAAAACAGCGCCCTCAGCAGTTCCAGTGCAGTGCCAATAGATATGAAGGATGGAGGCAGGGGCCAATTTTGTACAGATATTAAGTTTGGGGGGGTGTCTAAGCTCAGAAAATAGCTTGCCAGCCAAAAACCCACAGTGTGCGTGTTGCCTGTGGCTGATGATTTGATGAGCAAACAATATTTGGTAAGAGATCGTCTGCAGTTGAGTTCCGAGAAAGTGGGTCTGATATTACTCCATTTATTTAAGGACATTGTAATGGCCTCATACTCAGCAATGAAGCTGGTTGCTATGTACCTTTCCAGTTTGATTTACTGTGCTACATTAGCATGTACATGTATACAAGGGGCTTGGGAGACATTTACATACACCAGTAATTATTGATTGATTTGGACTCACATGTACATGGAAATTGTGGGTCACACCTCAGAAATTGGGTCCAATCAAGGCACATTAATGCAGTTTAAAAAAAAAATTGAAGAGCAGTTTAGAGGAGTTGGGGATTTGGAAGGCGCCATGTTCCTCATGAGTCATTTTCCTCCCCGTTGCTCCGTATCAACAAGAATCATTTTCATTTTATTTGAGAGATATATTATTTCTTTTTTAAGGAATGTTTGGAAGGGCTCTTTGTGAGAATTGTATGGCCGTGAGGATGTTGAACCAACAATGCTTAGGAAATATGACTTAATGGCTTTGTTTTAAGTGGTACATGTGTGCCGTAGCATGTCGTCTCGTGTGATTTTCATTTTAAAAAAATATTTTAACATTTTAGCTCTTTCAATCTAGAAAAGGGGCAGGACAGATTCTGCTCTCCTCTGTAGGATTCAGATCTCAGCCCTTTAATGACCGATATTATACATGTATTTAGAAACGTGGTTTTGTAAGCCATTATTTTGAATACAGTTGTCTTGTTTGTTGTAATTGTATATTGACAAAAGTATAAATAATTACAAGTGATAAGAATAAATCAAATAAAACTAAATTCAAACACATGAATATATGAATTAATTAATGTATAAATTAAAGACTAAATAATTCTTGTCCACACTGTGAATTTTCTATCTTGCACTTTGGGCAAATGCTAAAAAGCTGTCATATTGACAGTTCTTTCATTTTGAATGGAAAGATATGCATTTCAATTTAACAGCGTGATTAAAATTCAGGCAACTACAGGAAGTTGGGCTTATTTGGGAATTAAAATACCGTTGAATTTTCAGATGATTTGAGAGCAAACAATCCTCAGAATGGTCTTCCGGTGGTGAGGCATTGATGTTATTTTATCTGGGTCTTACATTATTCGCTGATTGACGAATGGATCCCTATGTAAAAAGACTCCTTGAATTCTTAAAATATACATTTATGTTTTTGGGGGAACCCAGGTATTGATAAGGATTCACCAACCAATATAAATGTTTAAACTTGATTAGATTTCCAGTGATTTTTTGCAAGATAGTTTAAAGTTTAACATCCGTGACTGTACAGTGGCCAGATCCCTTATTTGCTACCTCTTGTGAAAACCAATCAGACTTTATCGAAGGTAGTGAAATTTAGGGACCTGGCGACCATACAGTCACGGATGTAGAACAATTTTAAAGGAAACCAATGAAGGACAGTGAAGAAGATAACTTATCATAATTGTAGTGGTAAACTCCATCATCTACCATTGTATATCTCATCTCATGCCAATAATTAGAAGCCAGCTTCAAAGGGTGCTTATTAATAGGTATCCATGACACACACAAACTTTTAAGCTCAGTACCCAACATGTTTTCAAAACAAGTGGGTTATTAGCCCTAAATAATACCATACCTGTCCACCGTTGACTGCATCAATACCGGCAGGCTGCACCCTGCTGCGTACTTCTTCTTCCTGCTTATAGTAGTTTCTTGAAATTTGTCCAGTCCATACTTGAACACTTATTTCAGAGCTAGAGCAAATTTGGCAAGAAAGCTGAGAGTGCCATCGTAGCGGTGGGACTGCAGATTGACGTCACTGGTTCACATGTGAATGTACTTTCTTTGCACAAATTATTCAGAGAATAAATGTGTTTGTAATAGTAAGGATGTCTATCTGAGGAAGAGGGATTTTAGTCCCTCGGAAATCCGCTGCCCCTCTGTTTGTAATCTCAATTTTTAAAAAATAGTATTTGTAAGATGGCCGATCACTATCAAGGTTTATGTGATCCAGTACTTTGTTCCTTCGGAATGCAAAATTTGGACAGTACTTATCACTTGAATGGGTCTGGTGGAATTTCTGATAAAGAGCAATTTAAAGTGACTTTTTTTGGTGATTCAGCTTTTGTAAAACTCTGAGCGTGATTAATTGATTCAATTTGTAGGCTTGTAATGACTTGTCTTTTTCATTAGTTTTTCTTGAATCCGAAATCTGTTCATTGAGCTCAACCATTATACATGCATCTCTATAGACAGCACTGGTTCTGATGATCTCTTCTACGCTTTTACACCGGAGCGGAACGGACGATTTGATGTAATCGGAGAAGATTCAATTTCCCATCGGCCATAATTTCGCATGCCATCTGTTCTGTTCCCCCTCCCCCCTGAGCGTTCATACCAGGACTGCTTGACACAATACTCTGCAGCTGCCACGCAGTGGCATACAGGAGATGCTCTTAACGCACAGATACACCTAGAAATTCCCCCATCCTTTTGTGTTCTTCTCTAGCGAGGGCATTATGCCATCATTTTTTCCCAGTGTTTTCCCTGCTTCCTCTCTCCTCTTTCCTTCCCTGTTCAAAGGTTAAGAAAATACAATACTGCCGTGAATCGCTTCATACCCCACCAGCCTAGATTTCTTGTATTGATCTCACTATTTTCAGATACACATTTCAAAAGTTTGTGGCCACCCCGATATCAGATGGACCACAGCGGGCCGTATTCGTGAAACCCATTTGGCAAGTGTGCTAAGTGGTCCACAAAGAGCTTCCATCATGAAGCACTTGTAGGCCGTCCCTTATGGCTACAAATGGAATAAAGGCTGCACTAAAAGCGGCGGCAAATTTCGAAGTTAGGAAAGCCTGACATTTTGATTCTAGAAAATTATCCAATCCAATATTCTGGATAGTTCTCTTCCAAATATGTACACGTGTTTCATAATCTGTATGCTGGTCATGTGCTGTTTCGTTTTCAAAGAGGGAAGCACTGTCATGATCATATTTCGTTTTTTTCCCCACAGTTGTACATGTAAATGTGGGAATGATTGCCCCATAACTGCTTCAATGTGGAAAACTTGTAGATTGAATAATAATTTGGGGGACAGCGTGGTGGTTTTTCAGGGTCTCAGCTCAAACTTGCACCATATGTGAATTCAATGGTTAATGTTGATTCCTTTGCAATTAACTTTTGCCAATCTTAGGGGAACTCTTTTGTGTACTCAATTTTTGCAGCTTTGGTGAAAATGTTTCAAGACCCCACTTGGATTGTTGGTGTTGTATTGCAGTAGTATAAGCCGGGAATTACCGGTCACGCCTAATAAAAAAAGAATTTAGATCAAAGCCACCATCTCACTACTTTCCAAGACTGAATGGCTACCTCGAAGAGTCAGCCCATGCTATTAGCTCACCACAGCTGACTTGTCATTCAGGAAATTTGATCAAGCAACTTGAGTCGCAGCGGAAAGCAACCGAGAGATGCCACTTTGCTTACGTAGAGATGCTCTTTTTTGTTCCCGAATGAAAAGAGTCTCTTTTATGTTTATATGTTTATCGTGGCTACTGCCAATTACTTCACCGTCTTTTTTTTTTTCTTTCTCCCTTGCAGTTCAGGGACAATTCTTGACACATCAGCACATTTGCACAGAAAACATTATGAAATATGTATCAAAAAGCTGCTCGCTGTTCGTACTTTGGAAGCAATTTCAACTATGCATATTTCCAATCAAATGGAGTGCTTACATAAAAAAAAAAAGAGTCTGCAGCTGTTTTCCACTCGGGAATTGTCTTTTTATTCGGTGACTGTGGTATGGTTTTGGCTCCCTTTATCCTTTCCCTTTTCCCCTTGGGCAAGACATGGCATAAAGCAAATACGACATGGTTTATTCTACTGGAGGCACTGATGATTACTAGTCCCATGGTGTTTAAACCAGAGCTACATCTTTGATATCTGTCCAAGGGTTCTGCTCCCCCAAATCTTAGCTTGCTGTAAAACCGTGGATACCGTCAATAAACATCAGAAATTACATGCACCTCTTTCCTTTCTCTGACTCTCTCTTTTCTTGAGGATTTTTCAATACTTCTCCTCTTCTTGGGTTTCAATTTGACAGATGTGCGCTGTGAACACATATTTTTCAATGCCCGACGCATAGCGGAGGCCATAATCCGAGAAGCCTATTATTCAACACTCACACTCTGATATTTGGGCAATTTCAGTTATGTGACAAATTTTTTTTTGAGGGAGGAATTTCGAAGCAATTTGAAATGGCGGCATTAAAAAAAAAAAAAATCAAATACTGTGAATAGAGTTTCAGGTAAGGAATTGACTAGTATCCGGGCATTGAAATGGGGAGGTTGAAGGCTGAATGATCATCTGTCAGTGGGCAGTGCAGCCAGTAGAGGATCAGGTTTTAATGTCAAACATTTCAAGGTGCGCTAGTCAGGCATAATGCGTTCATCAGTCCATCTTTTACCATTCAGATTGCCTCTGTGTTTTTGTGTCATTCGGTGTTGACACTGTGAATGTTCTCAGGGTGATGTTTACTTCCGAGTATTGATAAAAACTGAAAAGGAAATGAGAATATGTTGCTAACTGGAGCCAGGAAGAAAGTGTGGAGAGTCACCGTATGAACTGAAACAATCCAAAATGGCCAATTCAGTCCAGCTGTAGCATCAGAAATAATAAATTTTCACCAGCCACGGCTGTTACTAGTACCATATATCCCTTATGGGGAAATACAAATATTCATAGGAGGGAAAACAATTGTTTGAAGCTCAGATGAAAAGCCTTCCACCACAGGAGCAAAGACACCTGATCTCACTGTTTCAAGCCTGCTTAAATTGCTCAGTGTAGAAATCGATTAAGCTCGGGATATACTTGCCTTGTGAAGACAAATTTTCGGCAAAGAAACGTGTGAGAGGCTCCCTGTTAGGCATTACTTTTTCCTTTGCAGCCCTGTGACATTCAACCCTGCAGAACTTTGAAGTACATGCAGAGTGAGCACAGTCCATGATTTATTGCCGGCTCGAAGCCAACTCAATACTTTGCTGGTGTTTGCAGCATTTGGCGTATGGGCTTCCTAACTGGTAATCTCATGGTCAAAATGCAGTACAGGAAGATACTGTGACACCTAACTCGCGGCTTGCTAAGCTTAGTAGATAGAACACCAGAACTTCAGTTTAGTGGTCTGAGGTTCAAACCCGCTCAGATTCAAGGTTGTATACTAGTTTACAAACTGGTGCCAGTCCTCTATTAAGCCTGACTCCGTTTCCATTAGTGCTCATGAAGGAATATATTGTTTCTTATCCCACTGCTTACTCCCATGGAATTAATGTCTTGTTTGTCACTTCCAGGGCGTCCAATCTAGAAAAACGTCTTATAGGTGTGTCAAGCCAACTGATGGATCAAGACTTGGAGAACGAAAGTGTTCTGCATGCCATCAATCAGGAGGTCGATCGTCTTGTGGAGGTTTGTGCTGGACAGGACGAGGTACACAGGGCCATCTCGTCCCCGACCAGAGACGTGAAGCACAAGCCACAGCACTGGCTCACGGAAATCAAGGTATGATAAATAGATGAACGCAGACAAATCCATGGCTGTAAAACAAACACCGCTGTCTGCAGGCCGTTGGTTTTTAATGAACGGCAGTGGTTGGCCGGCTGTTTGTTGTGCAGAAATGCCATATATCATTGTAATGAGTGGGAAACTATGAGCACTATGCGTGGATGCTTGGATGCTCTTCATAACAGTATTGTCCTGTAATTACGGCGTTTTGTTTATTTCTTTTAGTTATTCACAGTTTACAATGCATTGGGGAATTTTTGGTATAGTTTTTACATCCAGGGGGCATTGTTGACTGCACTGAAATTCCATCGGGGTGGATTGTAATGCAGACGGATCTGTTTGATGTACTGATTTAACCACTTCTCACTACCCTGTTTTAGCATCCAGATATTAGATCCGACTGAAAAAAGGTTTTCCCAAACATTTCTGCAAGGACAAATTATTTGAACTGTGGTGTGGGCAACCTTCGTCTCCAAAGAAGGAATCTTTTTAAGCGACAGACTTTGTAGGCAACCTTTATCTCCAAAGAAGGAATCTTTTTAAGCAACAGACTTTGTAGGCAACCTTTATCTCCAAAGAAGGAATCTTTTTAAGCAACAGACTTTGTAGGCAACCTTTATCTCCAAAGAAGGAATCTTTTTAAGTGACAGACTTTGTGGGCAACCTTCATCTCCAAAGAAGGAGTCTTTTTAAGCGACAGACTTTGTAGGCAACCTTTATCTCCAAAGAAGGAATCTTTTTAAGTGACAGACTTTGTAGGCAACCTTCATCTCAAAAGAAGGAATCTTTTTAAGCGACAGACTTTGTAGCATAATACATTTACATGTCCTTCTTCCGGCAAGTCTGGCAAAGGTCAGGCCAATAACATGAAAGATCAATGACAATGGATAGAATTTCTGGAGGAGGGGACAAAATTACAACCCTTCGGACATGTTACTGCTGATCGTTACTACGCTAACAATTCTGTGAGGGTGCTGGTCCTCTTAGTGGGAGTAACTTGCATCAGTCAGACTCAAGCTGTGATCTACATGTTGAAGTAAACAAAAACTAACTCAAAATGGCAGTCTGAATTACATGAGCCGTAAGTTACTCCTCAAGAGAACGAAAGCTTAAATTGATTCTTTCATCGAGTGTACATGGCAGTACCACAAGGAGGTGAACACTTTTACGTGTGTGCCTCGCTTTCCCTGTTGGCAGGGTAAATTGCAATGGGTAGAGGAGGAAATGAGCAGAAAGCTGGCCCATCAGAGGAAACTCCGGCAAGACCTGGAGCGCAGCCGCACCGACGCGGACGAGGTGGCCCGCTATGGCGATCTCCAGAACAGACTGCTGCGGTCAGAGCTGGACAAACAGAGTGGCCTGCTGCACGAACTCGAACAGAATAATCAAGGTACACTGGGAAAACCTTTTAGCTTGATTATATCTCGTCAGGGACCATCCTTTTTGTACTCGACATGCATGTTGGGCGAATGGCCGCAGCATTAATGAGTGGTAATTCACAGTGGAGCCTTCCATGTCCTGACACATACATGTACCTGGCAGGTCTTGAAGTGGTTTCAGACTTTGTGCTGGACATGCTCATTGCGTTCACTCACCCTTTCAGTGTTTAAAAAGGATGATAGCCCACATTGAGCCATGAACATTCTCGTACGGGGGTCGAAATTGTTCTCTGGGCTGAATAGATTTCTCTTTTTGATTGGGAAGCAAACTTCAAATTCCAGAATCACGGCCTTTGGGCACAAGTAAAATCTAAATTTCAGTATTCAGCTAATAAATGGCTAGATCTCTAGTAAGAAGTGACTGTTGCAATCCCACATTTTCAGAGCGACTGCCTTAATATTTACTCATTGTTTTGGCGTGTCCACTTGAAGAAGCATGCTTACCATAGCCATGAAGAATATACAGTCTGTGCATTTTGGTCTGTGCTCTGCAGAAGAGCGTATTACGGTAGATGTCAGGTACATGTACCTGCGTCTTAGCTGTAAAGTTCTGAGATTACCGCGGCGGTCTCATTCCATATCTGATGATGTACATGTGGAGGGGGGGGAGCAGTGGAGTTGGTGTGAACGCGAAATGGTGCTTTTAGTAACTTGCTTATGAAAAGGTGCCCCTGCAGCGTGTGGTAAATGTAGGGTGTGTGTGTACATGTATATCTACATCTACCGTGTCCTGTTGAGATGTGCTGTGAAAGATGTGTTGCGTACTGATCGATGGTTGATGTTTAGTTTATTTTTGCAATGCGTGGAATTCGAGTAGTCTTTGTAGCTGGTTAGATTACGCTCAAGGGTGTGTGAGAGTGAAGGGATTAAATCTCCTTCAGATTTTCGTTGCAAGTTGAGATGGACTTGAAACCACACTTGTCCATCTGGTGTATTTTAGCCTGATTGAAAAAGACGTTTTCAATTTGTGGTCTTTGGTATCTCACCCTCCTGTTTCTTTGCAAGGTCAATGAAAAACTTCAGTTTTTCAAACATAAAACTTAAAATAAAATAAAGAACAGCATGCTCATATTCTGTGAAATTAGCATCCAAATCTCAGCCCTCAACAACCCGAGACACCCCCCCCAAAAAAAACTAAACCAAACAGCAGCAGCAACATAACATCCCCAAATAAATGTGACCCTTTAAAAAAATGGGAGTGAAAATAGAAATTATACATGCAGGCATTGGGTGGGCCAACCTGTGTGAGAACAGGCAGCAGTCGGTACCCGTAGGGTTGGTCAAACAAGTGCATTGCTCCTGGTTGTTATCTGCGAGCATGCATCAATATGAACACAAGACATTGCAACGTTCAGGCAGAAATAGAAGGCCCATTTGTGGCTGTTCAGTTTGATGCTGTACATTGACACCCCCTCCCCCATGGTGACCGGTTACGGGTATTGTTGAAGTCGTTTTTCCCTTTCCATCAGGGACGTCATGCAACAATATTTATTAGATAATGCCTCTCATCCTTGCCTCCTGTTCATCACATTTTAATCTTCTTATTGAATATTTTCCCTGTACATGTATTTTACATGTATGATATCGGTACTGTTGCATAATGCAAGAATTTTTAAAAGGAGTGGTCACAGTGCAACAATATTTAATTATTGAAAGTGATGAAAATCCTAGCCAAGAGTAATGGCCCTTTTGCCTCCGGTTCATTGCATTATTATACTCTTATTGAGCAGTTCCCCTGCACATACATGTACTGTTGCATAATGTAAGAATATTTGAGAGGAGTGGATAGGATAATGCAACAGTGTGAATTGACAATTTTTGTACTTGTATCATGGTGAAGATCGCTGCCAAATATTATGATAGCCCAGTGAATAGTTCTTCTTCACGAGCACTGTATTGTGTGATACCGTTGCATATGTATGAATATTTGAAATGAGTGAAGTGTATACTGCCAATTGCCGTGGCTACTGTATCTATAGACAAATGAAGCGCAAAAGTCAGGAGCATCAATCAATATTTGACTTGGTGTCTGCGCACTCACTTAGACTGTCTGCTCGTTCCGTGTCATTTGTGATGCGGAGAAATGTGGAGAGATAGCCCCGGCGAGAAACATGTTGAGTGAAAATGGAAGATTAATTAAATTTGTGTGTGTGAAGCACTCCAGATGTATCTACCTGTAATGCAGCAAAGAGGGGGGGGGTTGACAAATGTGTCTAAGGTTGGAAAAAAAAAAGCCTTTAAAGACAATTCTCTAGGAGTGTTAGGTTGTTGCTTCTCTGCGTTCAAAGTCAACTTTAGAGAATCTTTCTTGCGGCATAGTCATTAATCCTGGATCGAATTTTAGTACTAAAATAATACATCATTTTTGCCAGTGTAGGAGGCTTCCATTTATGAATTAATATCAGCTGCATGTATTTAGTAGTGATTTTTGGGAAAGTGGCCCTGGTTAATATGGTTTTGTGACTTATGATCAGAGGGTTAGGGGTTCAAATCCAGCTGCTGGCCACGGGTTTGGAGCAATCTGCAATGGAGTGGCATCCCATCCGGTTTGGGAGGTTTTCACGTCAAGGAAACTAGGGGCAAACATATACACACCCATCCACAGTGGCTTGAGACAGACTTGCCACTAAATATCAACGAATTACGAAATTGAGCCAGTATCTGTTCGCAGCTTTGATGCAGAGCTCATGCGTCAACCTACAGCAGGCAAAGACATGCAGCACATGGAAGATGTATTCGGTCCTTGATAATTGAAACCAAACAATTGTGGTTGTAGATAGAGGGGCCAGAATCTGGTGAGCAGTGATCTTCAACATCATGCTGTGTTTGCCATACCGTCGATTATGATGCCAAGAAGTGTGTACAGTTTTGTGATGTACATGTACAATACAAGAGATACTCTTTTTCTTTCTGAATTGCATTGTGTCAATCAGTCCACACAAGTTTTCCCGTCTTAATGATATCTGAAATTACGACTGCAAATTTTCACGTGGCTAAGACTGAGATGTCAGTTTGCTGGTTTAATGAGAACCCAGGCTGTTAAAGTGATCCTGTGTGTATGGAATGCATGGTCTGTTTATGGAACTTTAACTTACAGAGTACACACACAGAGGTGAATCACAATGCCTCGGATCCAGCAATATTCCTTGGGTGTAGCCTGACTTGTCCTGCTATCCAATGGAAATTATCAGCCAAAGCACAAAGTTGAAAACATGGCAATATCTTCTGGAAATTTGTTGGTCAGAATATTGGGGTGTATTCCAAAGGAGACCGCCCATGAAATGAATTATACAAAATTATCACATTCATTAGATTAATGCTAACAGTCCTCAGTCCTCCAATGTCAATATGATCAAATACAGAATTCAGTTCAAGATCCTCCTTCTAACATTCAAGACACTCCACGGCTCTGGCCCTCTTTATTTAACAAACATGCTGGAACCCCGCTCTGTCAGGTCGGGTCTGAGGTCAACAAGCAATACCCTTGTTGTTCCCTGGACGTGGCTGGCCAGTTATGGAGACAGAGGTTTTTCCAGCATTGTACCTCGCTTATGGAACTCACTCCCTGATTATTTGAGATAAGAATGTGACATCAAACCTTTTCAGCAGCATCTCAAAACATTCTTGTTCTCGTGAGCTTTTTCATTGTGAGCACAAAATTGGGTTTTTGTTTTCCACCTCAGACTGGCGCCTCTGAGTGTTTTACAGATTGAGTGCGCCTTATAGGGGCTTTATTATTATTGTTATTATTTTACATGCATGCTAGGGGGTTAGGCTTAAGTATACACACTTTATGTCGGGATGGGTCTGTATTGAAGGCTTCAGTCCATTACATCCCCCTCTTTTGTTTGTAAACATTGTACAAGTCTGTACACACGCACTGTATGTCAGTTTTGAAATAGTGAAAGTGCGGATGGTGATTTTATTTGTAGTTGTGCAGTGCACTTTAACTGAGCGCGTTTCGACTTTCACTCCTGTTTGAGTGCATTGCGCATTTATCAAAGTTGACTGACTGCGGTGATGTGTCAGTCATTGCTCTTGCCATTCTTTCGAGCGTCTTTTCAGTTGCACCTGTTCTTAGCAGCTTTTGGCATTTGCGTCTGCCCCTAACAAGTTACTACATTGATCACTGCCAAGAAAACACCTTGCTCACAATGTCTTCTTGAAGTCAAGTTGTTGAAAAGTAATTGGCATCTGGAAAGGATGATCAATAGTGGTGCACTCTTTCAAGCGCAATCGAAAAAGATAAGTGACCAAAGTGGATATGATATAATTACAAGATAATGCAGTTGCACAAGGCGTCTGCAGTTTCATTCAAGGCACTGTACAGTACATGACAAAGAAAAATAATGTAGCCATAAACATGCATAATATTCTTTTGTCCTTGCTTTTGAGCATACTTTTACATTTTATATATGTACCTACTCTCAGATTTGTATGTGCGGACCACTGAGTGCACAGAATCGGGCACTCCTTGCCTCCGTAGTCAGGACACCACAAGGGCAACTGACTATCCTGCCACATCTTCACTATGGTAGATTGCTACTAGTACAGGTGTTGGCAACTGCTTGTAATTCTGTTAATAGAGATTGACCTTATAATAATGAACCAGTTGCAGGGAAATGTAGCCGCATATTGTACACTTTTACTTCTGCGCGCCCCATCTGTCACACACATTCCCCATCTGTGGCTACTAGCCTCCTATTGCATAAAGACATGCCACACACCGTATGCGCACATCAACTTGTTTACCGTCTGGAAATGTACCCTGCTGTAGGCCAATACATGTGACGGGTAAGTCCATGTACATTGTAGTCCACAATCTGGAATAGGACAAAGTTCCCCTCGGAGAAGTCACTAACCTCAATTGGAATTGGTATGTACACATACATGCACATGTACAGCCCAGGTGGTAACATACATTATTTGGATTAAGGTAACATAAAAAGTGCTAGGATATGCCAGTTGGGTGCATTGATTATAAAAGTTTGATCCTTTTACTAAAAGGAATTGAAGGAGGTTGACCATCTGGATTGGTGCACACATTCCTATTGGATATATACCAGTGCCATTTTAGAGTGGTTTATTTGTATGGTGTTTCATTTACAAGAAACAAGCCATTGATTTGTCCCTTACAGGGTCAAACTGCAACCAATAAGTAGGAGATTCTGCTCCATCTGATATGCTTTACTTCAATTTGTGGGCAAACGGTAGAGACAGAGAACACGAAGGAGGAGAAATTGCATAACACTTAACTCACCAGCAGTGTACATAAAGGGTCATCCATGGAGCTCATGGATTGCTGTAAATCAAGTAACAGTATGAAAGGCCATCCTGTCATTTATGACCACTTGAAGTTCATCCTTTTATTGAAAAGAGAGAAAAAGGAACAGAGACTTTTGTTGTCCGAAATGCCATATTCATCAAGAAAGGCACTTCCCACAGCAAAAAAACGTTTACTTGGACATTCACTTTAGCTAGCACTGGGAAAAAAAACATTGTTGGCAAGTCTCCAGATTTGACTTAACAGTTTGCTGTGACAAGGACCACTGTGATAGTTGTGCTGGACACTGAAACCTTTTGCCACAAAATACAGGTAAGTAATGGCCACAGTGTCTGTTCTCATGTGTGGGCCTTGACTTGGGAGTTACAATTGCTAATCACTGTCCCCACTTCATACAGTTCAGCCCAAGTCTAATTATGGTAGGTGTCTCATGACTGCAGATTTGGTGGCAAGCAAAAGGCAGAAGGACATAGTGGTGAAGTCTTTGGAGAAGCAAGTGGATAAGTTGGAGCATCACATTGAGATGGTATGTACCCGCACTTGCATCTAGTCTGAACTTTTGATGACACTGAATCTGTATATAACTTCCATATATATTTATTATATTGCATGTTTACTCCTAAATCAGTGTCTCATAGCCGTCATGTTTTGGTTGATCATGCCTCGTGGTATACACAACGGTCTACCTTCACTGAATCTGATTTTACAAAAATAAACCTTGCCATATGCTTTCCGTTGCCGCACCCGCACAAGAGCTGTTACATTTCTTATGTTCTGCATTCCTGTCCACAAAGTGCAGTCGACTGGCTGAGCGGCGGACAGACAGAGCCGAATGTCCAGCTTTTTTTATTAAGTTATCAAGGCGCCTACACACTGTCAGAGCTGGAATCCTTAACAGGTGCATGTTTGTGTCTGTTGATATTGGGCGAGCGGCAGGGTTGGCAAAAAAGGACTTTTGCCTTGTGCTCACTCGCGTCATTTGCACAAATGTAATTTTAAGTTTGTGTGTTCATACATTTGATGGTGTCTTAGTGTGATGGTAATTCAAACTGAACGCTTGGTTTTACACTTGGTTGGTGTTATGTTAAAGATACTCTAATGTTAAATGCTCAGTTCATCCGAGAGCTGGTAAAAGTAGAATGTAGGTACGAGACTGCTGGAATGGGACTGGCTCCCATGCTCTTCACCTATTTGGTGCATACACGTATGTCATAACAAATTGACCAAGCGGCTTGCTGGAGTCAGCTGATAGATAGCCAGTTAACGTTGGATTTGCTTACCTGAAAAGCTGCTGGGGGTGGGTTTTTTACCTGCAAATTCTTCAACCTTGCAATTGCGCGCTCTTCAATACATTAACCACGGAAATGAAAAAAAGGAATTCCTAAATGAGTGTACACGTCCTCAGTGGAACAAATAAGCAAAATGATGTGTGTTTGCACGCCATCCAGCATCAAGTGGTTAGGTAAAGTATTCTTCTGGATATATTGGCAGTCGTAGCATCTCCATTCAATATAGAAATATATTAGCATGGCAGCTAGGAAAATGGGCTTAGTTAACAAAGGTGGTAGACTTCCAATTTTCAAATTACTTTAAATAGGTACATGTTTTTAACAAATTGCACATAAAATGAACAAAGAAAATGACTTTGCTTATCCTTAACCTATTACCATGCAAGTACCTAGTCAGATTCTCCATATGGTTTGTTTGGTTACAGTTACCTGTGCTCATTTGTTGCATCTTTCATTTCCCAGTCTTTTTTGGGGGGTTCTTTTTCTCGGAACGGCATGGTTACTTTGTGGTTGGCGTTACCACCTGCCTTCAATATTGGTAAACCCACAGTGTGCTGCAAAACCTGTTACTTATTATCGAATTATTTCTGGAACTTTCGCATGTGGTTTGTACATATATATTAAAACCGGAAGGAGGGGCTGTGAAATGGGATTTTTGCATTAAGGAGACAAGGTATGCCTTCCGTTTACAAAACCCTAATTAGATGCTTGAGTTTTTTTGCCATGCATTTGCCAAGAATCCTTGGGCAAGTTCATCATCATGCAATTTATTTTTCCCCTTTTAATATAAAGAAGTCCACTTTATTCTGCCTACCTTCATTACAAGATCTCATCTCAAGGAGGTTTCAAAGCAGTGCAGGGTTTCACATTTTCTAAGAATAAAAATCAGAAAAAAAACTGCTTTTTAACACGTGGTGCCCTTTTAGGTTCACGTGTCTTGTTCATGAGCATCTCGAGCGTGATCTGCAATATGTGTCACGGGATACGTATCAAGTTAATGAACGTGTAAAAACATAACATAACTGTGGTGAGGTTGATTCCAATAGTCTGTGCTCAGTTTGATTTTGTTTCATCGGCAGAAGTACTGATTAACCATGACCTGTGTTCCTGGAATTAACTGGCGTCCTTGAGTGATTACAATTCCTTGGCTTTTCTGTACTCTTTTTGCTCGTCTTCGTTACGTCGGAAGGTGCTTCATATTCATTTCAAAACAGAAAGATCAATTTTCAGGAAAAAAGAAGTAATCGCAAACCCGTCTGTCTCAGTAGTAAGCACAATTAAAAGTGGAAACTCCATTTCCTGAAGAGCCAGATTAGTAGTACATGTATATATAGGCTCGACCGACGCCCCGCCTCGATTCCAGAGAGTCTGCTTTGCTCTCGGTCTAACTCATTCATTCATGACTGAATTAATGTGGAACAAACAACTGTAGAACGCTATAAGAGTAATTAGCTAATAACAAACCCAAGTGCACTTAACCTTGTTACAACCACTAAACCATATTACTCCGTTAATACCCTCCCCGCTGAATTAGAGAATCAGCCAGAGAAAAACCCTATGAAAACAGGCTGGGCAGACTATAGTCTTGGCTACTGCCTTATTTGATTTGTCATCCAGAAAACGCGCAAAGCAGCTATGAAAACACTGGTTTTAATCAGACAGCAATTCGCTGGGTGCAGAACTTGAGGCAATAGCGCGATCATGGATGGAGTGGAAAATGACGTTGACCCTAGCTCCGACGGTTGAAATAATCACGGCGGCCGGGGGTCTCCTAAGAATTGTACCCAACATGTCTAGACAGTCCACAGTCCGGGATTCCCAAAACCTGACTCCATTATGAGTGTGTTATCCAGGGCAGAATCGTGTTCGTGACGAGATTGGCATATCATCCATCATTTTGGTCAATAGACAACTTATGTTTCAATGGGAGTGATTGCCCTGTGCGCGATGAATGAAAGTGTGTCAGGGTAGTATTCCTGCGGGGGACGCAAATCTGAAAAAAAAACCCAACAACAACACTAGAAGCATTCACTTGACCAACACTATCACCAACTTCTTCTCATCATATGATATTTTTTGTGAGTGAAAGTGCAGACATGACTTAATGCAGCAAAATTTTGGCATGTTAAAAGTCTGTGATGCCCTTGACATTTAAAAAACACATAGTCAGAACAAGAGGTCAATAAGAATTCTGGGAATAATTCAGGGTAACATAGAGTGTAACATAACATGTTCGAAAAGGGAATGTAGTCGTTTGTGAAAGATTCTTGGGCACGTTTAGAGTCAAAGGCCTTGGAGGCAGTGTGAAATTTCCAAGTTCCTCCTTGCTCCATTCAAATCCTCCTGACAGGTCTTCTAAAGCAGGGAATTTAAGAATTCCTTAATCTCCCACTCACTCAGCCACATCGGAGCAATTTTTCATTTAGTGCCTCCTACGCAACTATGCATAATACATGTACATGCGCACTTGCCCCCGCCCAAGTCTGAACTGGAGGAATTTTGACAGGCCTGTATTACAAATTCACACCGTGGACTTTGTATCTCCTTCATTTTGACACACATTGCACCACTCGACACAGCAAGAAGTAGGCCAGCGTGTACTTGCCCATTTTTAATCTTCCCTCTCCCTGACATTTGGTATTTTAATTTGTCAAGGCTTTCGTGTCGAGTACCGGATCTTTCCTGCCCGATCAATTTCTGGTTATTGATTATTATGGCATGTGTGTTGAATTGATAAATTTGATCTTCGTCACAGATTTCATTGATGGATTTGTGTTTTCCTAATAGGTTTTAAGATGAGGCAGATTACTTATCTTTGGTAACACTCAAAGCCACGTTGTTGTAATGTATGAGTTAAATACGAGTTATCAAAACGAGCTTTTGATGGCGAATATCCTTGAAGATCAAATTCGTTTTTTTTCTGAATATTGTTGAGTTATGCGTTGGCCATTTGAATAGATAAATTAATTTCGAAAATACAGAGGTGTTCATATTGAAATACTAAGTAAACACGTCAGTTTTGATTGTTGAAATATAATATGTTTCCATGTGGTCCAAATACTTGAAGAAGTATGAGATTATATAAAGAAATTGGTTCAACACCTGATCCAGCTACCCCCAGCTGTTAGTAAACAAGGTTTTAAAAGTGGACCACCATTAACAAACTTGCTGGTTCTATATTATTTCATAATAAGAAATGGATGTTACACTAATGAGCGAGGCACAATTCAATTACGTGTTCAAGTGAGCGTTTTCCCCTTTGAATAAACCAAAATTCACGGCAACAAATTTGGGCATTAAATATCACAACCTGTCGACATTGATTTTTAACCAACAGAGAAAAAGGAAAAGTACCATCCAGAATTCGAACCACATCTTCACCATATGTCCTTTATCCGCAAACCAACTCATGACATGCCACCCCACGTAGTATGCTGAAGCAGTTACGTCATTCATGTGCCTATTATACTGCTTTACCGGCTGGTTTCAAACGTGGCATTTTGCTGCCTGATTGACATGGCATTTTCCTTCAAAAGCCTCGTTTATTAACAGCGATGAGTTATCGGGTCGGAAGGGTAAAAGACACAGACCACAGATAACACTTAAAAGGGCTCATTCAGAGCGAGTTTCTTTATATTTACCTTTGTTAGAGATCCTGTCTCTCAGTTAAACAATGTCTCAAAATAATTATAACAGTTGTCATTACAAACCAAAAAAGTTGGTAGAGACCACCTGTGTCTCAGCATGGCTTGCCTTGAAACGACGGTACTCTGTCCACAAAAATTAAAAATAAAACAAAAAATAAAACAAGAACCGAAACAAACAAAAAAGCAAAAAATTCCCAACTAAAACCAAAGACAATCCCAAACCTGAACCTCAAAACCCAAATTCCAAAGCTCGAAATCCAAATCCCCAAGCCCAAATCTCTAACCCGAAGCCCCAACCCATACCACAAACCCAAACCCGAAACCTAAAAACCCAAAATACAAACCTCAAACCCCAAACCTGAACCTCAAAACCCAAATTCCAAAACTCGAAATCCAAATCCCCAAGCCCAAATCACTAACCCGAAGCCCCAAATCATACCTCAAAACCCAAACTCGAAACCTAAAAATACAAACCTCAATCCCCAAGCCTAAACCTCAAAACCTAAACCCAAATCAACTGAAAATAAAATAATAAAAAAAAAAACAACAAAAGGCTTGGACGAAGACTCAGTGCTTGTGACCCCTTTAAGGGAGATGGCACGAGACTCCCCCGGGAGGGGAAATTCTGGGTGCGCCGCCGGGGTACCGCGTCAAAAGCGAGGACGTGCCTGGTCTGCGAACAGCTGTCTTTGCGTGGGCAGGGGCAGATGTACATGTACACGCTGCGTGTCCAGACCGGCGGGGGGGGGGGCTCGACATTATACAGACAGTGTTGTAGAGCACGCAACTTCAGTGCTCTCCTTAGCTGGTTTATCTCGACAGCATTCTGAGAGGAAATTTCTGACCATGTACTGATATCTCTGTCAAATCTTGTGATTACACTCTTATGGCAGAATTAATGTTAGTTTAATGTAAAACAGAAGTTCTGTGGTGTTTCTGTTGAAATATTTGTTTGATGGTTGGGGACATCTTAAAGTTATTCCTTTTTCAGGACCATTGTTGTGTGGACAAATAAGAATTTATTGATGAAGTTTAGAAATACGAATGAAATTCAAGTTTAGATTTGGTAACATTTTAGAAAGAATGCGAGGTGTTGAGGTGTTGTAACCGTCTCCCTAACTCCTAGGAAGCTTTTTTCTCCGGGGGGGGGACAAAGTTAGTAATGAAGGCTCCTAGCCCCACTACATGCCAAACTACAACTGAAGACTGTATTTTACAAGCAACTGATTGGCGGGGTTCAGACATTCTAAGGGAACTATATTTTTGGATGTTGAAGGCAGAAATCGTAAACTGCTGTACTCATTGGAACATGTGATAATTAAAACTCAGTAAGCGCTAATCACCCATCACCGCAGGGGCACCACTGTCGCATGCACATCGCACCTCATAAACTTGAGGTACTTCCATTCGTTTTGTATTTTAGCTTGTCATAATTGACATTCTAAGTGTACATACATGTATGTAGGCGAGCCTGAAGCACAATATATTACGCTTTTTACTTTGGTCTCCAGATTAGTGTATTATACATGTATTCTATTAATGCTTGACTTCGGCACATCGTTGCCATGTCTACGGACAGATAAACCAATTTGTTTGGTCACTGCACAAAGAATGATTGAACTAAACAAGTAGATTTGTAGCACAACCTTGAATTTAACTCAATTCTTCCTGCTTAATTCGACTTAGGAATCTTTTGATTCGTTCTCATTCACTCTACCAGAGATGCTCCTAGTAGGATTCGTTGTCATGCTCTCTGCTTGCTGCTGTTGATTTGGTTTTCATTCTTTAGCGCATAACGTATAGTTTCGGTTCAAATCAGACATTAATAATTCTTCAAAGATAGAAAGAATACCACTTTTTAATAAACAATATTGAAACCCAAAGTATTAAAAGCGAGATTTGAAAGTAAACATTTCAGCAAATCTGCAACATGAAGACGATTGTGATTGCCAGTTATGATATTCAATCAATAATTTTGGATTTGATTTTGAGTTAAGAAACGACTATAAAGAAAGAGACAGGAGTCTAGGTCAGTCAAGAGTCAGTCAACATTTTTTTTAAAGGCGCGCGCTTGTTTTTTTTCCGTTAAAATTTATCACACGGCAATTGTTAAATAGATGTATTCCCAAATGGATTATGTCCAAACAACATTTCAGGTTTCGAACATCCTTCACCTGACAAGGTTTTATTGCTCCAAATTGATTCAATCAACTAAAGAAAACAATGCCGAGAATAACAGAGGAATGCTCAACATTCATTTCAGAATGTCAAATCGCTACGTCGCAGCCTTGAACTGATTCCAGACCTGGACAGCCCACCGAGAGACTCTCCCGCGCAAGACTATAAAAAACTCAAGGTACGCCGCTTAAGATGATAATGAACCCACCGTGCCACCCAGCGGTGTGGTCGGGTTCTTTCTGGCCACGTCTCATTGCTACGCGCCGTACAGTCGGCAGTCTGCCCGAGCCTTCGGGTCTCCACAACCCGAGTATCAAGAGTCGAGCAGGGCAGGAGTGAGAACGACGCCGAGCTGAAATTTCAGAGCAATGGCAGTCTCGCTTACCACTATTTGACCTTTTTAAAAGCCCTCTGCGCGCCGGGTCCTCTGTGCCCGAGCGGAAATTTAGCCGAGGCATAACGGTATTTGCAATGAATTGCATTACTTTCACCAAATGAAAATGTACGGCCGCCTTGCTGCGAGCTGTGGTTATCAGGTGCCATGGAGAGTAGCCGCGAGATTGCTCAAGCTTTGATTTTCTGGGGTGAACGTGAAACGTCAGGGCTTGATCGAGCATAATTATTCACGAAAAGGAGGACCGTATACTGCGTAGAGATTCAGTATTGGCATTTTCGAAATAAACTTTCTTCGTAAGGTAGTCTTTTAATAGTTAACCTCAGATAATTGATTGATTTATTGGCTGTCACTGGGATAAAGAATGCAGCTACTTATTCCTTACATCAAACCCTTCTCTAGTCACTTATCCTACATTTGCCATTTTGTCCGTGTCAGGACCTACAAGAAGAACGTGACCGCATCAATGACAGATACAATAGGTGAGCCGAAATTACAATGTCATTCTGAAATCTGCATAAATTCACAAAAATTAATACTTATTAATATTAATGTATTTATACAATGAATTTTAAAGTTTTAAGACGAACAACAAAGTCTCCCAACGCTGGAAAAGGTTTAGTGTTTCCAAAGCTGTACAGTTTACCAGTTTATTTTGTCGGGAAGATTTTCTCCTTTTTATCACCAGTTATTGCAGAATAAGAAGAGAGACATTGACAAAATTGCCGGGTAATATATTATGCCATAGCTCATGTAACTAAATGGAAATGACCAAAAACAAAAGGCGAGCCAGCTCTGCCGTTTGGATCACAAAACTTCCTGGAAACAACCAAAAGAAGAGGGTATTTATTAAAACGAATCAAAAATATATTAGCCGGGGAATTTGTGAAGGTACCCGCTTCTTGAACCTTCAAAATCTTTCACACTGTTGAGGAACCAAACGGAATGTCAATTACACTTGTGCACCGAAGAGGAGTCCGGTCCCATGTGGATGTATCAGTGGCGGGATCTTGTGGCTTCTGTCTTCTATTCTTCAAAATCCTCTGAAACGTGGTGGATTTTTGAGCTTCGGGGGATGCTTAAAAATGCTAATGCGAATGAGTCCCCTGCGATGTGACCTGTTCCACGTAATATGCTAACTCCACGACACTGTCTATGAATCGACAGGTACAAAGGAACGGTCACTCTCTTACAACAGCAGTTGGAGGAAGCTAAGCAGTCGACCGGCTTCCAATCCCCAGGAACGAGTCCCCTTGTACAAAGTTACAAGGGCAATCGAATATCTCCAGCCTCTTCAAATCTCTCCTTGAAGAAGCACAGAAGTCCAGAGACAGACTCACGAGGAAGGCATCCAGCTAAGGGGCTTTCAGATCTGATTGGTAAAAGCGTGTCACCGTCTTCTAAAAAGAGAGGTAAGTGCTATTAAACCGAAAAAGGTACTAAAACTCACCCAAAAACTTTTAAAATGCGCTTAATAGCCAAATTGAATTGGTTTATTTTTCTGTAACTTTGTATGGAGTGTCATAATCATACTAATTGGTGAAATGTTACTTGTGGTTGGTAAAACTGGAGCATTTATAAGGCTTGGTCACTACTTCTGAGGGGATTTTCTAATCGAACAAATCCAAAAGCTTGTTTTTTCAACTTTTGCAAAAGTGAAGCCTCAGTGTAAAATAACACTTTCTCGATGAAACAGCCGTTAATTAGTCCAAATCAGGCAAACCCAGTGCTAGATTTTCAGATAAATATCCTATGAATTACGACAGTTCCATAAATGTACGTGTAATTACTTTGGTATTGATATAGTTTCTTGTAAATTGGTGGTGTGTTTACTTATACTTCTATGACACTTTGGCCATTTGTGAGTAAATGTAATTTTCAGTCGATTTTTTAACATCTTGAATATTAGTCACTGGCATTCTGTTCCTCTTTTTGACATTTTGTCACTGTCGCATCTTTGATACCATCACTGTCGCTGTCAACTCACCAGTACTGTGTATCCCGTGTCATTCCAGCACCTTACAGATTGATGCCTCCGGACAGCAGCGAGAACCCATCATCCGCGTGTCTTCCTCGACATTTGTTATGATGATAAATCGTGTGCATGATATATCTGCTGCCCAGTGTTAGTTAATATTTTTGACCCTGGAAGATTGTTTATTTTCCTTTTACAGCGCATCATTCCAAATTGTCTCCAGCTGATGACGCATTTTTGTCTCTGCGGGCGAGGGACTTGTAAGGCCCAACATACCAAAGCGAGGATCGTTTGTCTGGGCCCTTGACACTCTGCACTCAACCACGGATAGCAGTTTACGCTGTTCACGGGAGCATATTCTCAACTGTGAATCGCTGTACAAATGAGAACATTAATGGCAGTAATAAGTAAAGTGCACTTTATCTAGCAATCGCTGGTGCTTGGTGGATCAGTGAATAAAGCAGGACACTGCCGGCAGATACCAGTGAAACTAGGTGTATCCAGGGTATCGTGTTCTTGTGAATAGCACATACTGTTCATTAATCATGAATGTTATTACAAATGAATGTTTATGCTTGGAGGATACGCCATGCGAGGATGACGATGAACCATGAACAGTTAATGCAGAACTATTGTTGTCTTTCCTGTTCCCGCGTCACAGCTGCACTTTTTTGCCCATGCCAAATCGACAAAACATGAGCGCCGGCAAAAGCAAAACCAATTATTTCCAACAAACTTGAGCATCCTTTCAGTTGTATTGTACGATTAAATGTGTTGATACACTTTATAAGAGAAAATACCGCCTAAATGACTTAAAGCGCCCTACCTCTTTCAAAATGGTGGTCAATTGTTAGGATAACAAAAAAAGACTCTACCAGATACGGTTCTTTCCCATGAAGTTTAAACTGTATTGGTAAATAAACCGCGGCGTTCATTACCAAATTAGTAGGCCTACAGTTTAGGGTTGGATGAGTCCAGTTGTGTATGAAGACTGTTTTTATTATTCAGGTGGTATTTTTGCGGCCTGTAGCATAAATGACCAATTTGCTGTGATGTTAGCGTAATATAGAAATATTTATAGAGGTATTTATTGGTTAATGGGCATTCGTTTGCCGACTTCTTTTGTGTGGAAGCCATTTAGTCGTAGCAAAGTGTACGTTTGATTCTGTCTCTCTCTCACGCCAAGGAGATAGTGAAGGTTGTCTACAGCCTACCCAATTTGCTATTCGAAATGGTAGTCTTCTTCGCAGTGTTACTTCCAGATGGGGTGTAACATAGCGGCGATGAACAATTGAATCTTGGTTGGGAATCGGGATGAAATTTTTTAAACACTCTCTGTTCAAACTCACACCACTGTATCTCCCTTGCCCTACTTTGATAAGTTACATCACATCTAATGTGTTTGCGGTGAAATTACCCCGTCACGTGCAAGAGGGCTGTCGGGGGAAAATATCCAGCGCTACCAACTTGTGTGATTTTAGAAAGTCAACAGTTCAATTGGAAGGCATTTGTACGTTGGCACGAGATTGTATTTCCGCGGTGTGTTTGCTTGAGAGGAATCGGGTATTTATTTAGTGATATATTATGTCGCTTTATCGCGCAGTGACGGTGGCACGTTGACAGGAATGGCGTCATTTATTTTACTGTATGGAGACTTCAGTGCGGGAAGACTTGAGAGTTGGGTATCAAGACACGCAATCAGGCATAGGGTGTAAGAGGCTAAGAGCGCGATGTCTCTCCAACTTTTGAATATGGGTTTTGAAGTCAGGGCAAGGGTGACGGTAATGTTGAATAAGCTTATACGTCGTGTTTGTAATGATGGCTATTGGACATGGTCGATTTATTCCTGGGTACGTTTATGGAGGATGTTTTGGGTGTGTGTTTTTTAGCGAAGATAAGGAATATGCATAGACATCTTATAAACTAATTTGAAGAGTTGCCTTCATAACTGTGATTGCTTAGCACTCGCGAGTATTCTTCAACTCGACTGGCGCATGTAGTCCTGGCTAGCTCCGGCACCTATTGGTCAAAGAGTCATGTAACACGCGCGTACCACCTGTCCACGTGTGTGGTGTCACCGCAGTGAAGTATTCGTATTCTGGCTGTCCAGTTAGTTTACAGGGAGAGGTTTTCGTAACAGGTAATTTTTGAATGTGCGTAAGAACCTAATCCTCTCGTGACAGTCTTTTTGCGCCTGTAAAAACCGACAGTATACAGTCGACTGATTTATTTTTTGATTCACCAAAGCTGTCCCTTCTGTCGACAACAGAGCTCATATTAAACTAAACACTTGTTTCTTTGAGGTGAAACGGAGCCAATTTGGTATGTTATTATTTTGAATACGCACTTAACTTGAGCGGTGCATTATTAATTTTCAACTACTGGGCAAAATCTGAAATGGAGTTGATGTGTACACTGTCGCTGTCTCACATAGGCTGTTTTCATTTGCCACACGGCCCGTGTGTCTCTTGGCGGCAGTGAAGCAGACCATAGAGGCAGGCGGTGCTTAATTGAATGCGTGCAACCCGCTCGATTCCAGCCAGGCGAGAGAGAGAGATATCAGAAAGAGAAGAAAGATCTTCATTTTGTCAGGCGCTGCTCACTCCTGGTGCCAGATTTGTCATTTTCCTGCCACATTCCCACTTTCCGGCGTTTGCTTCGGCGCAGTAATGACGTCAGAGCCCTTCATGTAACACACTGTGGACCCATCCCCACGTTGCCAGATGTCGATTTGCTATTACGTTAAAGGTGTTGCGCGCGTGTGAAGTCTGGCCCGCAGAACGCTCGCCTGCAGCTTCTGTTAAGTGTGCGACACTCTCGCAATATTATCTAGTTCCACCGGTTTTTTATTTGTACAAATCTGAAATGATACATATTTATACATTTTGCATTGGTTACATGTGATTTTTTTACCTGTATAAATTTAGGATATTTTAAGGAAATAAAACTTTTCAGAACAGATTTCTTGGAATGTTTTCATTTATGAGACAGTACCGTACTCGTATGCTCCGGCTTGGCCGTGTGTTTTATATCTTAGTGCTTCCACTTTGTAATCTTGTACATGATGCACCGACTGTGTATTTAAGGTGAAACGTCTGAAGAGAAAGTATCTTTGTTTTGAATGATTTTAATTAACTACAGAGTAGGTCTTCCATTCCAACAATATGTGCTGTTGATGTAATTTTCACTTATATCTGTAAATAATTCAGTAGAAACAGCAATGCATAAGACTTTATGAAATACATTGCGTCACCATTTTCCTAAGTGCTGGGTTTACAGTTCGTGTTTGTACAAATTCTAACCACTAAAATTAAATATGGAATAAAATTTTTGAGGCCATGCCGACTTAGGAGTTGGTTGATTGGTTAAAAGCCGTTTTTATATTGTGTTTTCTTCTGCAGTGTTTTTTTTTTTTGGGGGGGGTAACGTCCCGTGTGAGTAGGAAGATCCAAGCAATAAAACGTTGGAAGGTGCCCCAACAGCCTTCAAAATACGGTGCTGTCTTGTTTTTTAAACTGTTGGGTCTTGAGCAAAATAATAACAAGAAGACCTTGAGACAGGAATCACTGCAACTGCTTGGAATGTGGATCATGAAATACTGGATTCAAGGATTAGTACACGGAAAGATCAAGTTTACCATCAACATCAACTTTGATTTTCACGTTAATTGGATAATGCAAAATCATGGAATTTGATGGTTTTTTGGCATGTATATGGAAAAAATGTAGACGTAAGTTACAGTGGACATGCTAACATAAACTGTACTCTGAATCAACATTTCGCATCAGCGCGCAACATAGACCTGAATGTTTACGGTTCGCTCATAGTTTCCTTCATAGCTTCGTTTTCTTTTACCTTGTGAACACCCAACTCATCGGTCTTTCATCTTACTACTAGAACATCTCCACTCAATGTAAATAGCATTGATTCTCTGTTGAAATCTAAATGCTATTCAAGGCCATTATCTGTACTGAAGCATGTGCAAATTCCGATGCTGAAAGATACAACTCGGTACACAATAGTCTGAAACAGGTGTATGCGATGCAGATGTACGCGATGCAGATTTCTGTCTTGAGAGTTTTGTTGCCGTTTTTCTGCTGTAGTTCTGCACTGGTTGACCCACTCTCAGCTCGGAAGAGACTGCGTCTTTAACCAGCGAGTGTTGAAAGCAGGAAGCGCTATTGAAGGCAACGATTATGATGATGACGGTCAGTCCGAGCGATGTCTGGCCGATGCGCGGCGGATTTGGCCCGTGTGGCAAGTACATCAACCACACTGAAGCCTTGCTGACTTAGTCTTCAGTGGCAGTGGGATTCTTTTGGGGGTAAAACGTCACGTTTCCAGTTTGCCTATATGTGTTATTTCCCAATCTCGTTTTTTTTTATTGAAGGCCCGTTATGTTTCGCAAATGATGACATTCATCTCAGCAATAAATAGTTGAGGTAGTGGATGATAACCAGTGTCCTACTCCAGAGAAAGATTGCTGAGTTGACAGCCGTATAGTATGCTTCCCCCCCCCTTCGCCTGAACGTCACCGATGGACCAGACTTGTTCCTAACACGAACTTGCACCACAATGGCTTCCTTTGGAAAGGAAGGAAAAATGTACAAACCTATGTTGGTTCTCAAGATACGAATCAAACTGGCGATCTGAAGCAGGGATTGCGTGATAGTACAGTTGTATTTACGCTGCCCTTGCCCCAAGCTGTGATTCTCATAAAGGGCGCCGTGTTTGTCCTAATTGGTGTTTAGCCGACACTGTAATGCGATAAGAAATGAATGGATCAACTGGATTTTCCAGCCAGGCTCAGTTCATTGCCGGAAATAACTGCCCAATTATCTGGGATGTTAGGCTCGGTAAACGTTAAACCATCCTCGAACATGCCTGTATAAATTTACTGTGCACACGAGTCGTTGTGCATCAGACTGTCAGGTAGTACATCACGTTTTTTGCAAAATGGAAAGTTTGTCGAAACAGACGCACTGAGGTGGAAAGGGGAAAACGTTTATTGTTCAGAAATCAGGTATTAAAGTCGTGTATCCTGATCCTTATAGCGCCTGACGATCCTGACGTTTCGTCAGATCCCATATGCAGTAAGGTATGAGACGGAGAGAACCCCCCTGCTTTGTGTTGGTCATTGTCGCGCAGGAATCTGGGGAATTCCTTTCAGGCATCTTGGGGGGGGGGTGTGTTAAGTAACAATAGTCCGGAATGTGTATAGGGATTGGACATGTTCGGGGGTACCCCTCGGTCTCATTTCTTGCTGGATTTATCAGATCCCTTGTTGGTCAGATAGCTGCTACGGTCTGAAATCCAACGACTCAACCCCCGTATGGCGGCTAGAGGGCCGTGTCTAACAACGGCTTCCAGAGTTACGGCTATGTCTGGTAGTAGGAATTATTACGGGTCTATGTCTTCAACTTGACCTTGGTCTTGCACGATACAGATGCAGCCTTGTAATAATGTAATAATGGTTCATGGGTGGATAGTGGATAAACTCCAGAGAAGGAACTTATTGGTTGATTTCCAAATAAAGCCGAGAGGAGGTAATGTCCACTAATACCCACCGCCATTATACAATGTATGTGTTTTACCGCCCCCCGTATTCGGCTGCCATTACAATCTCAGACATCATTTGAACGCCATTCAGTACGGAAGCGTATTGCTGCCAACGCGAAAAATTATTTTACCTCCTTTAAAGGACTTATTATCTCGTTTAAACGAGATATCTACATGTATGTCGTTTTAAAGAGATAGAGACTTTTTTCCCGTTGGCAGCGACATGCTTCCGGACCTTTCAATGTTTTTTGTGCCGCCATCTGCTCATATGCAGCTAGGGTGATGATTACGCATGCGTACTTACCTGGGAGAGAGTTCGACTGTAGCTTCACTAGCGAATGCGCAGTATACCGTTCCCGGGCTTCCAGCCCTTGGTATCGACGCGCTATTCGGCCAGTTTTTAGATATCGGTGGTCTTAGAACTTGCAGAAATTAGATTAAAATCACATCTTCATAGCTACAGTGTGTTTCCATTGCGTTCCAGAACCATGGTTATCTGAATGCTTTTGCTTCTTAACAGACGTTTCTTAACAGCATCTAGGCCCACGCGTTGGCAAAATTTAAATAGGCCTACGTCAAGATAAATATGTTCAGTATGATGTTGCTACTTGAGTTCAGTTTCATGAGAAGTACCGTACTGTTAATGGCTGGGCGCTTTAGGTTTCAACTGGAGTAGCTTGTGAGACTCGCACCTTTCACGGATACGCTCGCTACCTCGGGGTATCGGTCTGTGAGTCTGTGTACCACATTTGAAAATGCAAAGTGGTACTCGTCATAAACGTAGCACGGTATCTGCCTAGTTCTGGTATGCTGGTTGATACCAGGGGCGGGAGACAGCTTCAGACATTATCTTTAGTTGAAGGTACGTAGGTTTTTAATATAGGTAAATTATATGGACGACCGCGTCAGCAGATCGTATCGGTGTTTCATAAAAACCGCGTTTCTGTTTTTTAGCTCGAGACTTCCGAGATTACTTGATTGATAAACATCTTAAATCGGAAATTATTTTACATTTAAAATAGGAGTTCAGTTGATAAACTAAGGAACTAGGTTTGGCTTACACCGAGGAGTTTACACTGTCCCTGTATAGGAAGTCTTTTATATGCGCCAAACTCATATGCTCCTCATCTCCTTTTGTACTCATTGTCAAACTGAGGACAGGTTATCATATCCGAGGGCCTAATGTCAATGTCATTCTCTTGTTAGTGTCCGCAGTATACACATCACACACACACGTGCACCTTTGGATCAGAGAGGGGAATCAGTATTCCGCCTCTATTTGTGTTTTGTTTTGGAATGAAATTCTTGTCAGCTGAAATCTTGTTAGCTGAATGCTTCGTCCCGGCTTATCAACAGAAGCCTTTCGCAGTCGAGCTAAGCACCAGTCTGCGCAACTCGGCGCGGCTGTCGAGATACTGCCGCGTCCACGCACACCACACCCACACCATGAGTAAATTGATATGCTTTTATAACAACCGAGGCCTATATCATTTCCCTTCCTCCTGCACCGAGAAACCGGAGCGTTTAGCCGTTACAAATCGGAATGGATACTTAGCAACTGATGGATGCTTTCATTTCCTGGCTGCCTGGTCCATTCGGCATTTGCAATACATGCCCCCGAATTTACGTTAAAGTGGGAATCGATGACAAAAGTAACCATGTCACTCAAAATTACAGTCAGCAACATGATTCCTACCCCTAATAAATTTTATTTTTTGTGTGCTTTTCTAAAGAATGAAAGGTCGGCACATTACATTTGGGACATAGTTGAATACTTTTAGCTGTCTGATATAAATTACTGACAGCTTTGGTTTTAACTCATTTGCAAAACAAAGAGAATGCTACATTGTTTAAATTCTGACATGTTCAGAATTATTCATATCCTTTGCCTGTAAGAGTTATTATCATAGTTAATAGTCAATTGCAAAGCCCTTGTTCTTGATTACAGCATTTAGGCAGTTTGTGTAGCTGTTCAGGAAGGTTTGGCACAGCTCCACGGGAATCTTAGCCCTTTAGAATTCTTCCTTGGCGAAGACCTCTAGCTCACTCAGGTTGGGAGGACTGCGGGCACGCACCTTGGACTTGAGGCTTTTCCACAGGTTTCAATGGGATTCAGGTTTGGGCTTTGGCTTGGCCGTGGTAGCACCTCCACGTTGTTAATCCTGGACAAATTTCTTGACTGCCTTTGCCGTATGTTTAGGATCATTGTCCTGTTGGTACTGGTACATGTATGTCCAGTTGGGGCTGAGATGGAGATTTTCTGCAGACATTGCCCTGCAGGATCTGGATGTACTACTCCTCCTTCATAATTTTCTTCCACTTTTATGAGATTGCCAGGCCCACTTGCAGAGAAACAACCCCACACCATGATGTTCCCACCTCCGAACTTCACGGTCGGCACAGTATTCTTTGGGTAGAATGTTTCACCTTTCTTGCGCCAAACGAAGAAAACATCCTGGCCAACAGCTGCATTGTCTGACCACAGAACTGATGACCAGAAACTTTGAGCCTTGTCTCGGTAACCTCTGGCAATTTCGAGTCGAGGTTTTCGATGCCTGTGGGTGAGGAGAGGGGTCTTTCTTGGCTGCCGCCCACGTAGCCCTTTCCTTGTGCAGTGTGCGGCGGGTTGTCTGCGTTGAAACCTTGGTGCCTATCTCACCCAAGTTGTCCTGAAGTGCCTTGATTGTAGTTCTGGGGTTGAAAAAGGCCTCGCGGCACACTTTCCTAACCAGACAAGGAGACACCTTTGACTTCCGTCCACGCTTGTCGATGTTTTTCACGGTAC